GCTGATTGATGCTAATTTCAGCATCCCGACTCTAGTTTTGTAGACAGACACAGTAGCAATCGCTCCGTCCACTCGTTAAGAGATACCAGCAATTGAGTGTTTATATTCTCGTTTTCACCAATTTCTGAACATTTGCATTAGTGGAAGACTGATTTTTTTCTTCTTTCATTTTGCGTGTATGTGTGTGTGTGTGTGTGCGTGTTCCCATGAGCATGTGTGTATGTGCGTATGTAATCATAGTAGGCTGATGAAAATTCCTATATATGTATATAGAGAGAGAGAGACTTTAGTTCATTGAGCTGGAAAAATATCTAAAGATTCGTGGTCACAATGTTCATGTTAACCCTAATGCTCTGTTTTCAAGGCTGGTTGTTCTGCTGGAGAGACGCGAAGATGTGATTCCGTTCTTCAAGTTTGGATTCACTCCTTTTCAATTTTCAAGAATTTCCAAATGAAAAAAGACAACCAAATCCGTGCTGAAACATCATCTGACCATTGACGAATCTCAGCCACCAACTGACACAATGCTTGTTTTAGATGAAGGCGCTCTCCTCACTGAGTTAAGTGGTTGCCTAGGGTGACATTCAGCGACGTGGTTGTACAGTACGTGAAGGCCTAGTACGAGACATTAAGCATCCTTGTTATAATTATGCAGGCCCGCCCATAAAAGACCATGTACATTCGCAAACAGTAGCTTGGACTTCTGCTAACATACAAATCGAAGGTAAAGAATCATAACTTGAAGATGGGCATGGAGAATGCGGAACAAAGCCGACCGTTCAGTTGGAGGTAGTCTTTCAGGCTGTAACTTCATCGTCGCTGTTGCGGCATACGCTATGTACAAGAGCCGGATCTAGATCGGTTAGAACTGAGGCTAAAGTAAAGTTACTCATTTCCCAACTCCACCTGCAAGGATCAAGTTGGCAATGACCTAAAGACTTCCAAATCATAACTTGATAATGGACACGGAGACTGTGAAACAAAGCTGACCGTTCAGTTGGAGACGGTCTTTCAGGCTGTAGCTTCATCGTCGCTGTTGCGGCATACGCCATGTATTTGATGTCCCTGGGGGAGTCCAATGTATCGTCTGGTTTTCCTTTATATATCTTGACAAAACCGGCAACCCCGCAGATGCAACTTGCGCAGGAGGAGTTGCATCTGCTAATGTAGCGCAACACGACTGCATCTCTTTTGATTTATAAATAAGGCTGATTATCTCATATTTCTCACGCCCAAATATAGGTGACGCTGAGTCACATCGACCCCATACGTGGTATGACTGGCAAGTTTTGCAGAACGTAGGAGCTTTTCTCCCCTGTGATTTCACAGTTGCTTTCCTTGAGACTTCGTCATTCCACGAGACTTCTTTCTCTTGGAATGTGGATAGACCCTTATATAAATTAATTGGAACAAAAAAAGTATGTCCATTCCAAGAAGTCGTTCCTTGCAGATTAACCACAGATTCTCGATGGGAATTAAAATAGATGCTTTTCCATGCCAGTACTTTGATTTGCTCACTGGTAAGTGTGTTCGTGCAGCGTTACAATTTTCGTACCCTTCCTTGGAGTAACGTCCATCGCTGACAATGGCTGTAGGACAACTAATCGACAGTCGAGATAGTATTGTCTGAGCGTGATAAAAATCTGATGCAATCACGGATGACGCAATATTTTTCAAGGCCAAACAAATTTCATCATACACCCGAAAATAGATTCATGTTACTGTGCACCACTGCAAATGGCCTAATCTGAGGAAAAAATAGAAGTCGATTACACCCTGTCACCCCAGTGGGTTTAAAACTGAACGTATGGTGAAAGAAAGGAAACTAAAGCAGTTGTTTCAATAAATTTGCACAAGGGTGTAGATGTTAGCCAAGTCTGGGGAAAAGTGGAAAAGTATAAGGACAAGGATTATTACAGTCTGGGGAAAAGTGGAAAATGATTACAGTCTGGAGAAAAGTAGAAAATGATTAGAGTCTGGAGAAAAGTGGAAAAGTAAAAGGACAAGGATTCTGTGGCATCAGCTATTAGAGTCACTAAATTTCTTTCAGTATCGAGTTTGAGTGTTTGAGAAACAATGTCCGTATCTGCGCCTCCCTCACTTAAAAGCACCCGATGACCGTCTGCTTGCAAGGAACGATATAACATCTTGACATCTTGAGAACAACAATTTGCAATGCACCTTCGATTTGTATGTTAGCAGAAGTCCAATCTACTGTTTGCGAATGTACATGGTCTTTTATGGACGGGCCTGCATAATTATAAAAATGATGCTTGATGTCTCGCACTAGGCCTTCACGTACTGTGCAACCACGTCACTGAATGTCACCCTAGGCAACCACTTAACTCAGTGAGGAGAGCGCCTTCATCTAAAACAAGCATTGTGTCAGTTGGTGGCTGAGATTCGTCAATGGTCAGATGATGTTTCAGCACGGATTTGGTTGTCTTTTTTCATTTGGAAATTGTTGAAAATTGAAGTTGGAAAAGGAGTGAATCCAAACTTGAAGAACGGAATCACATCTTCGCGTCTCTCCAGCAGAACAACCAGCCGTGAAAACAGAGCATTAGGGTTAACATGAACATTGTGACCACCAATCTTTAGATATTCTTCCAGCTCAACAAGCATACGCACTTGAGAACTTCTTTTCAGTGACGTCTCTAAAACTTTAACGTTGCCAAGCTTCTTCTGGATAGAGTGACCAGTCTCTTTGAATATATAACTATTGATTCCAGCACGATCGGATTCTGTCAAACCAGATGATACTGATCGTAGTCCTGGCTGGCTTTGATCAAAGGGGTTGTGCTGAGAGATCCAACTGAAGATACATCCGTCCTGGGTATGACGATAAACTACATCCGCGTCCTGGGTAAGACGATAAACTATATCCGCGTCCTGGGTAAGACGATAAACTATATCCGCGTCCTGGGTAAGATGATAAACTACATCCGCGTCCTGGGTAAGACGATAAACTACGTCCAACGGTAAGGACTTTACTCAGGAGGTTTTGAGGAGCGTGTAACCACCGCTTAATTGTTGGTGTTCCCAGGTCCACCCTGACTCGAGGTGGTAACACCTGTTAGGGTCCCAGATACAGGCAAATAGTTAACCCTGAAACTGAAGTAAAAAGCATTATAAAAGTCTAAAAATAAGTTTTAATACCAGAAATACTTTGTAAAATATTACCAGAAATAAATTTTTAAAGAAAAAAAAACAACAAAAAACTATTACCAGAAATATATTTTTGAAAAAAGCATTATCAGCAATATGTTTTTGAAAAAAAAAACATACCAGCAATACATTTTTTAAAATAATATTACCAGATATACATTTTTGAGAAAAAATATTACCAGAAATAGATTTTTGACAAAACAAAATATTACCAGGAAAAAAAAAGTTGTCGGCATTAAAGTTGATGTGCTGTAAAACAAAATAACCCAAACCAATCTAAACCAAAGAATACATACTCTATTCATACGAATCTATCCTAAAAATGTTATCGGTATTAAATAACCCATTGAGATTGATATGCCGTAAAACAAAATAAACCAAACCAATCTAAACCAAAGAATACATATTCTATTGATATGAATCTATCGTAAAAATGTTGTCGGCATTAAATAACCCATTGAGGTGATATGCCGTAAAACAAAATAAACCAAACCAATCTAAACCAAAGTATACATATTCTATTCATACTAATCTATCCTAAAAATATTGTCGGCATTAAATGACCCATTGAGGTTGATATGCCGTAAAACAAAATAAACCAAACCAATCTAAACCAAAGAATACATATTCTATTCATACGAATCTATCCTAAAAATGTTGTCGGCATTAAATAACCCATTGAGGTTGATATGCCGTAAAACAAAATAAACCAAACCAATCTAAACAACAGAATACATATTCTATTCATACGAATCTATCCTAAAAATGTTGTCGGCATTAAATAACCCATTGAGGTTGATATGCCGTAAAACAAAACAAACCAAACCAAACCAACTGAAGTCATGGTTCATATCAACACGATCTCTCTTCCGACGTGCGCTAGTCAGCTCTACGTGCTGCTCGCTGGTTCTCTGGGCAAAACTGATCAGTGTTGCCATGTTATCATGCACCTGGGCACCGGTACGCATTCTATACACCCACACCAATCTCACTGATTCCATAAACCATCGTCCCCTAGTTAACCCACCTCTATTCTTAATTGATCTCATCTCAAGAATGAGGTCACATTGACAAAACGGCTCAGTAACGGTAACTGCATCGCACACAATGAAACCCGTACTCTGAGAACTGTTGATGCTGGCAAGGATGCTTTTCAGGTAATTTTAGCGTCCATTGTCGGTACAGGTTTACACTGTTCGCATAGATGAAATGCCCGGTTGCTGCAAATAAATTTAGCATCACCCCATCGACACAAGATGCAAATTCCAATCCCCTGCTCTTTTGACAGGAATAAACAGCTCAAGCGTGTCGATGTAGGCTAGTCATAACTTTTTTGTTCTTTATTTCCTCCACAGTTCACCATTGGAAAATTCGTAAACTTAAGGAATCAGCACATATGCTAGGCCACAAAAATCTCCTGAGCCGACCAAGCATAGAAATGAATACAATATGGGAACAAGTAATAAGGATTGCCAGAGAAAAGCGATAACAACAACAAAAGTTGCAATATGAGCTCTGGTAAAAACATGGAATGATAACAGGAAAAAATTGCAATATGAGCACTGGTAAAAATGGTTGCTGAAGTCATTAGGTTTACAATACCCAGAAATTCATACATAGATGTCCTCAAGAACACATGACACAGTGGATAAAGGCGTTGGTTAGATCCAGTGACAGGACCCAAAAGAGTGTGAGTTCACTAGCCGTTAAGGAAGTGGAGAAAGGGAAATTAACGGGAGATAACTGATAACTGACATCCATTGAACATGACACGTGGAACTAGAACAGTCTACCCCAGTGAGTGGAATAAAGGGTTCAGTTCGACATTCCAACCACCTGAAGAAGGCCGGAGCGTACAACGGTCGAAACGTTGTAATAAATATGGCGACAAAGATGAGGACAGTAGTCCGAATAATGTAAATAATCTTATTTTAAGACATTTTTTATAAAAAAAAAATAAATTTAAGTAAATGCTCTGTTTATAATAAACAGTATTAATAACAATTACCGGCCTGAATGTCCGAGAAATTATCATAGAAAATATTCATCCTCCGACAGGAATCGAACCTGTATCCTATACGGAACCGTCATATAACCTGACGTGCCTTAACTGATCGAGCCACGGAGGATCGTTCGATTAGCAAGGTCGATTTTACTGCTTTTAAAATTCAATCTTCCATGAATCTCTCACGTACATTCATATCTGCTCAAAGCGTATCCAAATGTAAATAAATGACGTCACACATTATGAAATGGATAAAGTTCGACAATTATTTTAAGCATTTTTATGCTTATACATTCTTTTTTTTTTATAGATACAAATATTTAAGTAAATGCTCTGTTTTATAATAAACAGTATTAATAACATTTACCGGCCTGAATGTCTGAGAAATTTTCATCGAAAATATCGAGCAGGTACGTGAGAGATTCATGGAAGATTGAAGTTTAAAAGCAGTAAAATCGCTAATCTAATGATCCTTTGTGGCTCAATCGGTAAAAGCATGTTAGGCTATATGACGGTTCTCTCTCTCTCTCCCTCATTCTAAGTCACTCTGATTCTCTTCATAGGCAAATAGGGTGAAACCCAGGGTCACAAACTCACACCAATCCAACTAAATAAATATATATATATATATATATATATATATATATATATATATATATATATATATCGTTGAATATGGTAAACAAAGAAACTTGGTGAATCTGACCAAAGAGCCATAAAAAGGTACTTAAACAGTCAAAATTTACAACAAACCTTAAGGAAGATTCTGGTCGATAATAATAGCATTCTATATATGCCCCGTTACCGAAAACATCTCGCTGTGAGAGAGACCCTTTCCATAAAAAGATCTGGCACCCACTATAAATCTCACCTTATTTACCAGCGGAAATGGTGTATTTAAAAGTTTTTAAAACATAGAAAGATGCTAATTCGCGAAACGTTACTACTACTACGTTTCAAAGAGCACAAAGATCTCCATCTTAAAACAGTCAAACATGAAAAGAAATTAATACCACCTAAAAATAAAGCCAATGACATTACTGTTTATTCTTGCCTCAATAACAAATCCGGTGTCGCTGACAAAACTAACCTGGCCGTTGATCTCGAAAAGGACATCCAATTTGTTGTTAACTGGGGCAAGAAATGGCTGGTTAAGTTTAATGCCTCAAAAACAAAACTGCCTCTCATTAGAATGTCTGATGCTCAACTCCACGAGAGCAACTCTTTGAACTGTCCACTGACCTGAGATGGAACAAATACATTGAATCTATAGATTTATCTACCGCAAGGAAAGTTGGTTCCCTGTGTGGCACCAGAAAGTTTTTCTCGCCCGAGTCCATCCTTCAAATCTATAAATCAACCATTCACCCTTGCATGGAATATTGCTGTCATATACGGTCTGGAGCCCTCGCTGTTCGTCATAAGGTCCTCGACAAAATCCAGAGACGGATATGCAATGTAGTTGGCCCTGATCTGGCATCTAGTTTATAGTCGCTCTCTCACAGACTTGCCGTCGCCTCAGTCTGTCTTTTCTACAAATACTTTCACGGTAACTGTTCCAACGAATTACTTTCGCTAGTTCCCAAACTGCGTAAATCTAAACGTGCCACTAGGTCGGCATCTCAGTCCTACCCTTTCACCATCCAAACGGTTAAATGTAGCCGTCTCTTCTACTCCAATAGCTTCATGTCTCACACTTCCCGTCTGTGAAACTCCCTTCCTTTTACGTGCTTCCCTGAGAGCTATAATCTCCACCTATTCAAATGTAATGTCAATCGACATCTCCAGATCCTGTGATCTATTCGTCGTCCTTCTCTTCATCCTTTTATTTATCTCACCTCTTTACTCTTGCTCCCAATCCTCTGTAACCCTTTGCGTGCTAGTGACACTTCCGCCTTGATTGGGGTGAAAAGGTTAAAAGAAAATGAAAATGGCTAAAGAAGTGTCCGAAAACGTCTGGGACACTGGACAATACAGACAATTTTTGCACTCCATTACTCCCATCAAACGGAAAGATGCAAGAATGTTTGAAAGATTAGATAAAACATTCCTCAGATTTTCCTTGTCTGTCATATTCAACGAAAAATTTTTTAATGAAAGGTTACTGTCCAGAATGTTTCTTTATCGTATCACTATCATATATATATATATATATATATATATATATATATATATATATGCGCAATAGAGACATAATAAAACCTCACACCACGATATAAGAATGTAAATATTCTAAATATATATATATATATATATATATATATATATATATATATATATATGTATGAAAAAAAATACGGAAAAAAACAAACAAAAAATCATATAAT